CTACTAGTGTCCCTATTTTTCCTGTTGTTCAGGTTTGCCTCTGGGTGACCTCTGAGTAGTGCTACTTAGTCTCAGGTTTTCCGGCAGTTTTGATTTGTATGTAGTTTTTCCCATTCTCAGACACAGGCACTTGTGTCAGTTGATGGCCAGCCATCTGATCCAGTGTCCCCTTGCAGTTCAGGGCACATGCACAACCTGACTCAGGTTGCACTGGTGTGACAATCCTGGTCCAGTGGACCTATGTCTCCACGCAGTGTAGGGTACAGGCATAATTCGGACACAAACTGCAGGGTCTAAAGTTTGTGAACCACTTGAATCTATGTCTCCATTTAGTTCAGGACACATACAGGAACCAGATGCAGCCCAGATGGATAGCAGTCACAGACTTTCCCAGCCTTCAACTCGCTAGAGGGTCTGGGCAAAGGCAAAGCACGGACTCAAACCACAGGTCCAGCAGCTCCTGGAGCACTTGCTCACTCGGCGCAGGGCGCATGGGGCTCAGAGAGTCTGCTTGCCCCATCCCCAGCCAGAGAAGTCCCCAGGGCTTCTGAGTGAGGACCTCCTCTCTGCTGCGGGTGCCAAGACATCAGAGACTCAGTCTGTAATGTCGGAGACTCAGCCTGTAATGTTGGCGGGGTCCTGGTTTGCACGCTCTGCCCTCAGGGCATAGATGGGAAATACCTGACTCTCTCTGCGCATTTCACCTGGGAAACGTGGCACTGTGGGCCGAGCACAGACTCGAACCCACAGGCCCAGCAGCTCCCAGAGTACTCAATTTCTCGGCGCAGGGCGCATGGGGCTCTTAAACTGTCATTTTAATTAGTGCCTCTCTGTGGAACATAATAATCACACTCCTGGAGCGGACTCAGTGCATGTACATAATACCCCTTCATTCTTTTTCATGTCCCCTCGCCCCCCCCTCCCCCGGCATCTCTCAGTCCTTTTCCCATTGTCCAGAGAGCTACCTCCTTATTTCCTGTTATGTTTCTTTTCTTTTGCTCTTTGATTATTTCTGCTTCTGGTTTCTTGTATAGAAGAAACCATGTGATTTTTAAGCCCACGGGTCTAATTTATTTTGTGTAACATTATGGCCCTGACACATTTTCAAATTCTTCTCCACCTGCAAACTCTAGGTTGGGAATTTTTATCCACACTTGAAATCTGTCTGTGCTCTGAGCTCTGGACTTAAGCAATCACCTTTCTTCTCTGCACTGTACTTGCTCAAAAAGCAAAATCCAGATGTAAGCTGCTATGCATAGCGGGTGCGGGGCTTCACAATTAGAAATAATCTTCACAGAGTCCAGTGCACTGCTGCATGTAAAAGGGTGCTCTGTGGAAGAGATCTTATTGTTGGAGTCAGTACCTTGACAGGTAAACTACTTGATGAATTAATGTCTCTGGGGTGAGCAAGCCCAGCCCTGAAGGGGACAGATGAGGGGTGGGACTCCAGTTAGCCTTTGTAGCACTGATGACAACTGTGAAGACACTGCTCTCACCTGAACCTTTCTAAAATTAGGGTTTCAGCTGAATCATCAGTGTCAACTTCAAGCCATCATGAGCTGCCAGAAGCGCAGGTCCCGAAAGGCTGACATAAAGAACAACACGAAAATAGAGGACTACTTTCTTCAGGTATGTGTGCAGAGGCTGTTTGCAGAACACACTGATGTTAGACTTGGCCATCCCTGGCCCTGGATTGCACAGTCCTCCCTGCTAAAGCATTACCTTGTTGTCTACGGGCAATATTACATAAGGTGAACTCAGGACCTTCTGCTTGCCAGACTGTCTCTGTGCCCCGAGCTACATCCCCAGCCCCAAGTTAATGTCTTTCTCGTCCACTTTATTCTTTCTGGGGTGGTGGGTGGCAGTAAAGAGGGGAGCTGTGATTTTTTTAAAAACAGAGCCAGATCAAACTAGCTTTTAACAAAAACCTATTGCAGTACTTCTTGAAGAACAACAAAAAAAATTATGAGTAAACAAAACAAAACAGAAAGAAAGTTAGTGTATTTTACAGCATAGAAATAGCTTTTCAAGTATGGCTGACATAATGGAGCACAACAACCTATATTTGAATTACTTTATGGTGTATGGAGCACTGCTTGCATATTTATTTATTCTAACTATCAGCGTGTTAGACAGGCACACGGGATTGTATCTCCAACTTGCTTTGGAAGAGCAAAGGGACAGCGCAGTCGCTGCTCGGATGCTGGATGCAGGCTGGAAGTCTACTGACGTGCACACAGGGCTGTCTCTCATACCAGGGCTCCACTGCAGCACCACACCACCATGTCCTTTCCTGAGTCTAAAATGCTCCTTCCTGAACCAGGAAAAAGGCTAAAAATGTGAAGCAGCTGAGAGGGCAGCTTCAAAGCTTTTAACCTGTCTTCTCTCCTTCGGTTCTAGAACCCTAGAACATCTGAGTATCTAGAAAATCCAAGACAGGCTTCGGTCTGCTTGTCTCTGGCCTCCTGCTCCATGACAGAGCGAGCCAGCAACTGTGTATATGTCCCCTCTTCCCTTTCAAGAGCATCTGCATCTCCCCAGGAATCTTCCCAGTAGCTGGAGTCCATTACAGTGCTCCCAGGCGTGCAAATAAGGATGCATCCAGCAGCTTTGAGAATTGTACGCTTAACCAGAGTAAAATTATAACACCTTCTGTTCTATTTTATCTTATTAACCCAGAGTATTAGTATTATTACAAAAAAGAAAATAAATTCAACTCATATACGACTGTTATGGTGCTGGCCTCTGCCACACAGCGATATTAAGCCTGATCTCTACAGCAATCCTGGCCCTGAGATTCTCGTTACCAGCAAATGGCATGGCCAGCAGACGACCCCAGGCCTGCTAACACTCTTGCCGTGGTGAATGTGAGTCAGGAAAAGGATACCTTTCAGACCTGTGAATCAGATGTTCTTAATTATTCATTACATTTTTGCTACTTAATTAATTGCCATTATTCAATTCCTCCTCCCTCCTACCCCTGGCTCACAAGATAAAATCTTATAAAAATGGGAGTCCTGGATGCAAAATTTAAGAAAAAGTATGTAGTCTAACAGAAAAATATTAGACTAAGTACAGGAGTGTTGACATTTACTTCATTTATTGGTTATTGTGTGATCCTAAGAAAAGCACTGGTAAAACAACCTGCTGTGCCTCAGTTTCTCCATCCAAAGAATGGAGAGGCTGTACTTGTTTCTCCTCGTTGCATGAGGAATGAAGGCTTAGGGATGAAGTGAAGAAATAGAAGAAGTGATCTCAGATTTTTACTGATAGGTGATCAAACATGCTAGATGATAGGCGGATCAAAGTATTTATTATTGGAAATAATTATCTCTTTATGACCAAATAGTTAAATAATGATTGTTTTGTGTAATATCTAATGCCTAAGAATGAACCACAGTAGTTTATTCTTACTGAATTTGGTGGGGTTTTTTTTGTTTTTTGTTTTTTGTTTTTCCGGTACCAGGAATCGAACTCACGACCTTGCCCTTGCCAGGCAGGCACTGTACTGAGCTAAATCCCCAGTCCTGAATTTGGTGTTCTAAGAAGAAAAATGTTAGTGCAATGTAACACTGTGCTTGGTAAATGTAAAAATTATCTAGCTAAAGTAGTAAACAGGACCTGAAGTAACATAAGGAAGTTTGCTGATTTTTAAGCATCAGGAGGAAAAGTGTTTCTTGCCTAATGTTTGTCAAAAAAATTCTGCAGTGTGTAGAATTTATTTGACCATTGTGTCAGGAAACTCAGCTTATATTTTGGACCTCAAATTCAATTCTGATTATGTTATCTATCGTCTCGCCTTTTGGAATTGGCTCTACGTTTCCCATAGTACCTCTAGGAGTTTCATGTTAAAAAGAGAAACAAAAGACTGCAGTTGTTTTCACAGCTTGAAAATATGTAATGCTTATTTTTAGGTCCCAAGAGAACCACAGAATGGCACCAATATTTCTCAAACGAAGGCGGGGTCTAGGAAAAGGGTAAGGGATATAACAAATACCCAAGATCAAGGATGCCCTTTTCCTAAGAAAATTCCAGACAACCAGACCATGCACCTAAAGAAGGTCATTAACATTATCTTGGATGTAAACCACAGAAAGAACCAAAACATGAAATATGTCCTCCAGGAGAGTGAGCGGGTCACCTTATATAAGGCGCTCAGCACTCTCAAAGCTGTCAAAGAAGAGGAAAAATCTCAGCCAGGCAAAGAAATGCTGGTGTGTGGCACAGAAGGAATCGAAGGGTTCCTAAACCTCGGAATGCCCCTCAATTGTTTTCCTGATGAGAGCAGTGTGAGAATTACTTTTTCCAAACATGTAAGTGAACAGGAAAATCACGTATTTGGCCGGCATGACAGGACATCCACTGACTGTATCAAATTTTATATTCATGCAATTGGGAAGACAAAAAAACAGATTGTTAAATGTAGGGAGCTCCACAAAGAAGGAAACAAACTCTGTGTCTTTGGTTTCAAAGGAGAAACCGTCAAGGACGCTCTGTGCAAGGATGGACGTTTTCTTCCTTTTCTGGAGAATGACCCCTGGAAGCTCATCCGCAACCTGAAGTACATTATAGAAAGCAGCCAGGTAGTGGACAAGTTAGAGGGAGACCTCTTTCAGATTGAAGTTGAGAACAGAAGGAGCTCCAGGGTGGCAGCCATGCCCGGGGCTGCACAGAATTCTGAGTTAGAGAACAGCAACTTCCGTGTGTTGAAAGAATACATTGTGGAAGAGTATCCCACTTTGAAAAGAGAAATGGAAAAAATCAGAGAAAACTTCAAGAAAGAAATGAAAACAGAAAAAAAACAAAGAACTGCATTAATTAGGCTGCATAAAGCCAACTTCGGGAAACAGACAAGAAATTCTACTCCAGTTAAAATAATCAAGCTCCTTTCACGCCTCAGTGAGTCAGTTGGATTCTTACACTGGAACAACAATGGAAACGAGGGTAGTGCCACCTGCTTTGTCTTTGCAAAGTCACTCATTTTAACTTGTCGGCACGTGATACATGATATTGTGGGGTCAGGGGTGGAGCCAAGCGGGTGGGCAGCCATAATTGGCCAGTGTGCGTGGGTGACTTTCAGTTATGAAGAGTTTGAAACAAAGGACCATGACCGCTTTTGCATTGAACCTCGGTTTGAGGTATCTGATGTAAACCTCGATTATGCGGTCCTGAAACTCAAGGAAAATGGACAACAAGTACCTGCAGGACTCTACAACGGAATCGGGCCTATACCACCTAACGGGGTGGTGTACATTATTGGCCATCCTGATGGGAAAATGAAGTCCACTGACGCCTGTGTTGTGATTCCTCAGAGTGAGCGAACGCAGACAAGCCACAGAAATTTTAGAACATCAGTGCCTGAGCCTGACTGTGAACCTAGGTTTCTCCACATGTACACTCAGAAAAGTTTCCAGGAAATTCTTCACAACCCTAATATTGTTACCTATGACACCACTTTTTATTGGGGTTCTTCTGGCTCTCCAGTGTTTGATTCGCAGGGCTCACTGGTGGCCATGCATACTGCTGGTATCACTGATCAGTACTTAGGAGGGAATTTACATATCATTGAGTTTGGCTCCGCTATGGAATCCATCCTTTCTGATATGAAACAGAACCACAAGGAGTGGTTCGAACAAGAAGTTGTAAACCAGCAGGATGTAGAAATGCCGAGTCAAGAGTACTGAGGACTGGTGAGTCCTCACCTTGCCTATGCAGTTGCTATTCCATAGCTATGATGATGATTTTCTAATTTCCCCAGTGGTCATTTTCAGAAAAATTAAAATAGTTGATACTATAGACCAGCCATTTATATAAACCCATGAAGAAATTTGCCCTGTTAAAAAATGAAGCTGGATTGTCAGCTGCTTGCTAAGGTCCTTGTCCTTTTTTCCAGACTGTCAAAGGACGGTGGTGCATCAAACAAAACCCGTCTTGCTTTGTCACCTTTAGATCAGTCAGAGTGAAGCATTTGATCTCTGGCGAGACAGGGTCTGTGCCCCACCTCAACCTGAAGCAGTTATCAGAAGACAGCCCCAAATCCCTTCCGCATCCCTCAAGAATAAGGAATCACAGTGCTGGGGTTGGGAGTCAGGCAGAATGGAAGAAATAAAGAAATTAGAAGGAGACAGGGAAAATTACAATTTGTATATTGTACTTCTAAGAAGAAGGTGACTTAAAGACAGAGTTACCCAGGGTTTTCCACGTCTGCACACCCTGGCAGCTTGTCTGTGCTTCTTTTCTTTCAGGAGTATCATACCACAAAGCCCTTGACCATGCTGTAAGTCTACAAATCAACTTAACTGGTAAAGTAAAAGGTAGAGAGACTTGACCTTAAGAGAAATAGATTCAAAGGTTTCAAAGAATGTTTTTAGGCAATGTAGTTCATCTTTAAAAAAAAAAAAATACAGGCCTGCCTGGCAAGCACAAGGTCCTGAGTTTGATTCCCAGTACCAAAAACAAGACAGTATACTGGTTCCTGTGCATTTCTCCTGTAAAATAAGCCAATATCATCCTACCTATGGGTGGGCCATCACTTTTCTCCTGTAGACCGGGTCTATAGATTCACAAATTCCACTGCCAAAAACAATAAATATTCCCCGCCTTAGACTACAATTCACATCCTTTTGGAGACCTCACACTCTATTTCTTTCTGTTTATACTTTAAAATTCTGCCTAATAATCCCTTTACGCTTCTTTAAAAAAATTAGTTGTAACAAGCCTATGAAGTAAGTTATTGCCCCTGTTAAAGTCAGGCAACATGAAGTGTGACAAGATGAGCGATCCACCTTATGGCAGCATCCTGTAACTTGATTTTTCATCTTCAGTGTCTTCCCCTAAATTTACTTACTTCAGAGAAACAACTGAAATGGGTTCATCTAATCACGCCCAGTATCTGGCATGTGGAAAGTGAGTGCTCACAAAATTGTATGGGTCGACCAGAAGCAAAACTCAGGGCTGCAGTTCATGTTACCTGAGGCACCAAATGGTTGATCACAAACAAAATCCTTTAGGATTTCCAAAATCCTCCATTTACTAAAATGGTCAGCATGCGTGCATCCTGAGAGGCAGGGGGTGGTGCCTGCCCTTCCTGTGCTTATAGACTATGAGGACAGGTGGGTGTCCTCAGAAGCTCATGCTACTTTATCCAGGGTTCTTGTGTTTCTCCCTCGTCTCCTTTTTCCTGTTCCAAGATCCCGCCCAGCATTCTCATGATGGGTCACTGTCCTATCTCCTTGGGCACCTCTTGGCTGGGACAGCTTCTCAGCTGTCTGCTTTTGATGACCTTGGTAGCTGGAAAGAGCACTGTGGGACATTCTGTAGCCAGCCCCATTTCCTGGGTGTTGTCAAACATTTTGTGATGGCTACACTTGATTGTGAGTGCTGGGGAGGAAGATCACAGAAGAAAATATCATTTGGCCACACCCTGTCCAGGCTCAGACTGGGAACATGATTCATGACCAGTGGTGTTGGCCTTGACCACTCGGCTGTTGTGATGTTTGTCAAACTTGACCCAGAGTCTGCCTTGCTCATCCCCACCCTGTGTGCATGACCTGTGCGTGTGTCCAGATGTCCTCCCCTGCACCATGATCCTCCCTCCTGCTTCCGGGCCTCTTGGAGGGTTAGCACGCATTCTACCACCAGCCCCCAAGATTTTTAAGTAACAAAATGTTCATTTCCATCTGTGTCTTATTCCTTGAAGTTGTGCTTTCCATATTAGAGATCCTCAACTTAAGCAGAGCACAGAAATATTTGTGTGTATACTAACTTGCATATATACACATAGCTGTAAATATCTGTGTCTACAATAAATTAAGGAGTCCTCACTGGTATCCCAACTCTAACCTGTGTCTGCACAGATTACTTAGCTTCCTCCCCTGCTCATTTATAAAGCTGCACTCCAAATGTGGGAGACATGGCTGCTACATCTCTCGGTCATTTACTTAGTTGTTTAATACATATGTAGCAGTCACAGATCTGTTAGCCTGTAGTCAGATAGGAAATAACTTTTTTTCTTTTTGAGACAGGGTCTAATTATACAGTACAGGCAGAACTTGAACTCACTTTGTAGCCCAGCCTGTGCTAGAACTGGCAGGCATCCTCCTGCCTCAGCCTCCTGAGTGCTGGGATTACAGGCACGCACCACCATGCCAGGCAAGATAACTTTTTTCAATCTACTGTGATACCATGCTTATGTGCAATTTCTTTTTGTCTTTAAGACTATACACTCCATTTCTCCCCAAAGTTACTTACATCAGGACTTTTCCCTTGTTCCCTTTAGTGAGACTGTGTCATAGATTTTACAACACAACTATACATGTAATACATTTAGATTTTCTTCTTACGGCCTACATTCATCCATTCATTCACTCATTCTTTCCTTTGATACATTCTTCTCCTAAATGATGTCTTAAAGTTGTATGCATCAGATCCTCTGTATGTGCTGTAAAAGTCTGTGGGTGTTAGCAAGGGCATAACATTCCCCTACTATTACAGTATTGTACAAAGAAGTTTCTCCATCCTAAAATCTCATATCTTCATCTACTTCTCTCTCCCCTTCTCCCAAACCCCTGCAGAGGCTGATCTTTTTATTATTTTTATCCCTTTAGCTTTATAAGAATGTCATATAGTTGTAGTCAAATAGTGTTATGGCTTATATCTAGATGTCCCCCCGAAGCTTCCTGAACTCACAGGTGGGGTTTTTGGAAGGTGGCTGGATCATGGGTGTGCAATGCTGGGATTAAAGGTGTGTAGTAGTGGATTAGTCCACTAATTGGATTATCGTGGTTCTGGATTTACTGATTGGATTTACTGAAGAGAGATGCCCCACAGTGTAGGTACACTAACAAATAGGTTTGTATCCTGGATTCAGTAAAAGGGAAAGGTAGGCTCACTGCTGCTGCTTTCTGCCTGCCCTGCCAGGGACTGTTTCTCCTCTGCATTTCTCCTCTACTGTGCTACCTGCCTTGGAGTCAGTCAACTATGCACTGAAACCTCTACAGATCATGAGCTAAAATAAACCTTTTCTCTTCTAACTTCAAGTGTCAGGTGTTTTCTCAGCAATGAGAAAACTAACTAAGACATACAGTATGTAATCTTTTCAGATGGTCAGATATGCAATTCAATGTTTTTGTATATTTTCTGTGGCTTGACAGCTCATTTGTTTCCTATGCTGAATAATATCCCTTTGCACAGACTTACCACAATTTGTATATTCAGTCACATTTTGAATGAGCTCTTCACTGCTTCTAATTTCTTGTGATTATGAATAAAATTGTTACAAGACCCTGTATTCTGATTTTCATGGGACCTAAGTTTTCAGTTCAATTGGGTAAATACCAAGGAGTGGAATCTATTACCTGTATGGAAATATAATATGCCTTTGTAAGAATCTGCCAAACTGCATTCCAAAGTAGCTGTACCATTTTGCATTTCATCAAAAATGAATTTCCCTATTCTCATCAGCACTTGGTGTCAGGCTTGTTTTGTTTTGCTTTTGTTTTATGTATACTAACACTGTTGGAATGCTGGGGGTTTTCAGAGAATTACAAGATTTATTGATGAAAGTGGGGCTGTCTTGGATAATCTAAGAAATTACAGAGTTATCGTGTCAGCCTGAATTCAGTCAGAAAAAAGAAACCAGAGCTACTAAAAATTTTATAGCAATAAAGTATTTAGTTGAAAACTCAGGGGTCTACAAATATGGGAGGGGCAGGAGGAGGGAAGACTGCATCGGAAAAGAGGAGAAATTTGCTGACTCATGTTCAGATTTCTGAGGAGAAGCCATGTCGTGTCACCATGACCACACTTAATAGTTTGCAGTGAATTTGGAGAATTGCTACCTCAGACCTCTGATGAGTGAGAGCTCCTGAGGTGCCACCAAGTCCCGACTTGCAGGAGCTTCCGCGAGCAGTGACTGCTACTTGATTCCCACCTTCCAAGATTCTTGAGCATCTTTTCATGGACAAATGCTAACCCAGAGCTTCCAGAGCTTCTGGGGACAGCAGTCCAAGGCAGTGACAACAGAGATGGAGGCTACATGTACAATCATAAGTTGTTTTCAGCTGGGTGGTGACGTCATGCTTGTCATAACATGTATCTTATGGCTTTAACTGATCACTGATGCAAAGCCATCTATGTACTTACTACAGCTTGCAAATAAAGTATGTGCCAAGCAAATCCAGTATGAGGTACTTTTTTCACCTGAAATACCCTCCCATGTTTAATGCCTGACACTATCATGGAAAAGTATTGAGTAAAAATATGACCAGGTGAAATGTGGATGCGGGTATGGAGAAAGTGCTTCCATCCTTCCCCCTTTTGATTCTGACAGAGCCCCCTTCTTAAAGGCATTGCTTGTTTTCCAAGTGGCGATTTCAGATGAGATCACAGCGGCTTTAAAGATGGCCTTTCCTTCCTTTCTCACTTCTACTGTCGTTTCTTTTCCAAAACATTCATTTCACACTCTGATTTGCTTCTTTCACAGTGAAACCTAAACTTTACATTTTTGTCACGCTGTCTTCTCCTCCTACACTTCATGGCAGCCAGAAGAAAAAATTTGAATTTTAGATTTCAAACATTCCCTCTCTCTGTGTACCGCCACTATACTTTATCCAGCTTACTTCATTGCTTATCTGTATTTTAAAAGAAAGCATGTAGCATGCTTAGGGGCTAAGCACTCTTTTGAGGACTTTACGCACGTTAGCCCTAAGTCCTTGCCTTAGGTAGGTAGTTCCACATTCTGGTTACACGGAAGAGAAACTGAAGCACAGAGAGGATGCGGAACTTGGCCGAGCTTGCACAGCTGTAGAGAACTGGAGTATGAACTCAGAACTTGCGCTGCTAACTCTCTCACAGCCTCTCAAAACGTGAGGTGGTAATACTGAACGTCCTTGGAAAGATTTAATACGATGCCCTCTATTCTTTTTCTCCATGTCCCTCAAACTCCAAAAGGAGTGCTTCTATGAATTACCTTCACTTGCACCGCACTGGGAGACTTGCTGTAAGGTCTGGAGAACAGGCTTAATGCCTTCCAGTGCTCCGCGTGGGTGCAAGAGAAACGAAGGAGAGAAAGGGGATAGAAAGTTCTGCGGTGGGAACTGGAGCGGGCACTCTGGGGAGCATCTCACCTCCAACCCGTCCTCTGCTGGCTTCTCAGGCTCCTCCTCGTACTTCTTATTTGCTGTGAAGCGCATCTTGGTGGCCCAGCCCTGTGGGTTGTAACACCTGTGGGTTCTTCCGTCATGCAGCAGAGCAACGGCAACGTCTGGAGAATCCCCACTACTGCTTCCCAGTCTGACCCTTCCCGCCTAATCCCTGCCAAGCCCTTTTCTACAGGGGTTGCTGAGAGGGTTTTATTTTCCCATGGCATCCTGCTTTTCCGTGTCACCTCTCAACCTACCCTC